TCTTTCTACTACTGAAAAGATTTGGAAATGATTCTTTGAGAGACCCAGTAACTTTGCCCTGACAATGTTAATAGAAAAAAAGAAGTATGTTAAAAATTAAATATAAAAAGTAGTTATCAAAATGAAAAATTGCAAGAAAAGAAATATTACTTAAAAATGTAAAACAAGCCATATGCTGTAAGCTATGCTTCTGAGATATCTCTGGCAACCATCCTATCTTTCTGCCCCACTGCTCTGGTTCAGCCCTCACCACCTCTTAAGGAAGGAACCTTGCCATTGCCTCCCCTCCTCCACTCACTGGTTTAAGCATCCAATGAAAAAGCATAGATTACAAAACAGGGTGTGATCTAATCCCATCTCGATAGAATGATATTTATGGGGGTGTACATATAACCTTGCTTGCTGAAAATGAAGAGGATCTGAAGTGTTTGCTGCAGAGGATCAAGGACTGCAGCCTTCATTATAGATTACCTCTTAATATCAAGAAAACAAAAATCTTCACCACTGGGCCAATAGACAACATCATGATAGAAGGAGAAAAGACTGAAATTATCAATGATTTCATCTTGCTTGGGTCCACAGTCCCTTGTACCAGTAGTTAGGAAATCAGGATGTATTGCACTGGGAAAGTTGAGGAGCAATGGTATCAATTTGAAAACAAAGGTGCACATGATTCAAGCCATGATCTTTTCAGTCCCTTGTTAAGTACCTGAGAGCTGGACAATGAATAAGGATGACAGAGGAGGAATTGATGCCTTTGAGCTGTAGTGCTGGAGAAGAGCACTGAACATCCCATGTTGTCGCTGGGTGCCTTCGAGTTGAAACTGACCAACAGCTGGTCCTCCAGGAGTTTTCAGAGGGAATAAATAGCAGGGGAGGAGATTGCCCATCCTCCCACAAAGCAGCTAGTGGATTCAAACCATGTGCCTTAGGAATTGTAGCACAGTTTCTTACTACTAGTCCTCCAGAACTATCTCTGTTGTTGTAGTTGTGTACCATTGAGTCTTATCCAACCCATAGCTGACCCTCTGGCAGGTTTTCAGAGGCAGTTAATCAATCACATTGGAGGAGATTGCCCATTCTTCTCCTGCAGAGCAGCTGTTGGCCTTGAACCACGTGCCTTCAGGATCGCAGTGCAGCTTTTTGCCACTAGGCCACCAAAGCTCCCAACTATCCGTAAGACTGCCAAAGAAACAAAGAGGTCTGTCTTGGAGAAGGTGTACCTGGCCTACGCTTTGGAGGCAAGATGACAAAGCCTCATCTCACAAACTTTGGGCATGTTGCTAAGAGAGAGTATTCCTTGGACAGGGACATCATGCTTGGAAAGGTGGAGGGTCAGCAAAAGAGAGGGGACCATAGCAATGGGCTAAGTGTGTCAGAGATGATGAAGATGGCTCATGATAGGACAGGATTCAGATCTGTTCATAGGATCACTATGAGTCATACTTGACTTAATGGTACTTAATAATTCATATATAAAGGAGGGAGCTCTGGTAGCCTTGTGGGTAAGGAATTATGCTGTCAGTTCAAATCTACCAAGTGCTCTTCAGGAGAAAGATGAGCTGCAGTCTCCTCTTATGTGATTTACAGACTCTGAAAACCAGCTATGGGTTGGATCTGACTTAGTGGCACATGACCACATGTGTGAGTGAGCTGTGGGAGCAGCAGTGGTGAAGCTTTGCTCTGACAGTAAGAATGGACCGAACACCAGAGGGGTTTGGTTTTGAAGGGTTTTTTTACCCCCAAGGACTCAGGATTCTGCACAATTTTCATAAGCAGTAAAAGCAGCATTGCTCATAAGAATTAAAAATTAAAAGCATAAGAACAACAAGAAAATTAGGTAAAATATTTATTTGACCCAACCATTAAAATTCTTTAATTAATACTCTTTTTGAAGCATAGTTATTGTCACTGGGGAAATGCCCATGATCTAAATTAAAAGGGGAAAGATGGTTCATTCATAGGCATCCTAGAGAGATGGAGCTGGAGAAGGACAGTGAACTGGGCTGAAAAGGGAGGCCTTTCACATTTGACTATGTTCTTTCTTTCTTCAGCGAATAATAATAGCAGGAACAACTCTCCCACTAACAAGAATTAGAAATGTTGCTGTGAAGCAAATGTGATTCTAAGTGTTTTGTATTCATTTTCTCATAATCCTCACAACAATTTGATAAGTACTGTTATTATCCAGCTCACTTTATAGATAACAAATTGAGGTATGAAGAAGTCAAGCCACATGCGTAAGGTAGACTCTAAATTCAAGTGCAGAATTTTTATTCCAGAGCCTTACTGTCTTAAATAGTAGTGGCTCCCTTGGGTTAGTACTTGTACTATTGCTTTTGAAAATTAAGACCCAGATCCCTTTGCCCGGGACATTCCTTGCTTTGTTTTTTGTGGGGTGGGTTGTTTGTTTTTGCAGAGTTCTGTTCTGCCCATACTGTTCAAAATTGTAATCTGCCCCTCATCTCCTTTATTCTGATATAGTTTTTCCACTGGGAGCTCGGGTGGCCTCGTTGTGAGAAACTGTGCTGTGATCTCAAATGCACATGGTAGGAACTCACCAGCTGCTCTGTGGGAGAAGGATGGACAATCTCCTCCTGGGAAGTTTACTGCCTTTGAAAACTCACTCGTGGCTCAGCTTTGGGTCCAATTCAATGGCACACAACAAGTTTTTCCATAATACTTGGCAAGCATGCTGTACTGTTCTCAAGTTCACTATATTTTTTCAATTCTCTCCACCCTGCCCCTCAACTGTAAAAATTCCACTAGGACTGAGAATTTTATCCTGCTCACTCACAGTCCCAAAGGGTCCTGACGACACATATTTGTTGGGAGGTGCCCTTCAGTCCATTTGACCCACAGTGATTCCATGTGGCAGAACAGAACTGTCCACAGGGTTTTCTTGGCTGTAATGTATATGTATATATGTATCTGTTATATATATACATACACATACACATATACATATACATATGTTGTTGTTGTTATGTGCCGTCGAGTCGCTTGCGACTCATAGCGACCCTATGTACAACAGCCCTAAACTCCGCTCTGTCCTGTGCCAATCGCACTGTCTCTGACACTCCCATCCCAATTATCCTAGTCACTGAATCAATCCACCTCATAGAGGGCCTTCCTCTCCTGCGCTGCCCCTCCACCCTCCCAAGCATGATGTCCCTCTCCAAGGACCGGTCTCTCCTCACAACATGTCCAAAGTATGTTAGACGGAGCCTCAGAATCCTTGCCTCCAAGGAGCCACCCGGTTTAACCCTTTCCAGGACAAATCTGTTTGTTTTCCTAGCAGTCCATGATATTCTCAATACTCTTCTCCAGCACCACAGCTCAAAGGCATCAATTCTCCTTCTATCCTCCTTGGTCATTGTCCAACTCTCTGATGCATAACAAGTGATTGCGAAGACCATAGCCTGTATCAGACGCACCTTAGTCTCCAGAGAGACACCATTGCTCTTCAGTACTTTGGAGAGGTCCCTAACAACAGACTTTCCCATGGCAATGCGCCTTTTAATTTCCTGTCTGCTGGTGCCAAGACTGTTGACTACAGAGCCAAGCAAACTAAAGCTGTGTACAATCTCAATCTCTCCATCATCCATCCTGATGCTGCCAATTGGCCCAGTGGTGAGAATCTTTGTCTTCTTGACATTGAGCCTCAATCCATATTGTAGGCTGCATATACATATACATATACATACACATACACATACACATATACATATACATATATATATCAGATGGAGAATGGGAATTTTTTAAAAGTTAATCACCATTGATCTATGCCTATTACTCCTCCTTTCAGATCCCCACTGGATCCTTCCTAATTCCTTCACCTCTTCCCTCTCTACCTACCAAACTCTGTGACCTGGTGATTCCCCCTCCTCCCCACCCTCAGCCTGCCCCCCTCAACCTCATCCCTTCCACTCCCCTTCCTTTTTTGGACATTTATACACATCTTACTAGTTAGCCTTCTCTTGGCTATAATCTTTTGAAAAAGCAGATAGGTAAATCTCCCTCCTGGTCTGGCTCTTGTGAAGCCACAGAGTGAAGTAGAACCTACAACCTTTTAGTTAGCAGCCCAGAGCCTAACAGCTGCACACCATGGCTCTCTACACATATAGTACATGCTCACAAGCAGGTGTTGAATAAATGAAATTTTTAAAACATACCATGATTTCAACTTTATACAAACATGTAAACATATGTAATTGGAGAAATAGTTTAAATAAAAGTTAACAGTGATTCTGGTGTTTTCCCCTCTTTAAATGTCCGTTTCCACCCCAAAATTCTAGTGAAATGCATTTATTTTTAATGAGGAAAAAATGCTATTTAGTAGCGTCTTCCAAGCCTCTCCTAACGTTCATCGTCACTTAGAGTGGTTGTCGCTGTAAAATACATGACGCTTAATTTTCCTGCATGAAACACATCAGAAATTTGAAAAGTATTGCCTTTAACTAATAGATTATTGCTTTAAAATCGGCACCTGGTGGGTCTTGATGGGGTCAGTATTCTTAAAAGAACACAAGCTCTCTCCCGGCCAGTCGACCATGGCATCCCGGGGGAGCACAGCCACCTAGCAACCGCGAGCAGAGGCTGACGCGCAGCCCCGCGCCTGCAATTCCCCGCTCGGCGAGGAGGAGGGTGGAGAGACCCGCGAACTCCGCCTCCTCCGCCGCGCTGGCGGCAGCTGTCACCTGTAAGGCGAGCACCGCGCGCGGGGGATGGAGCTCGGCGCCCACTGGACAGGACACAAACGCAGGCACGAACCTCGGGAGGCCGGGGCCCAGGCCGGGCGCGGCAGGGGAAAGGGAAAGCGCGTGCTGCGGTGTCCATCGCCTTTCGCCCCAGGACGCCGTAGCTCCGCAGCAAGGGCAGGAGCAGCCCCGGGAACACGCCCGTCCGCCCGCGGCGAAGCGATCAGGTGAGCGCGGCCTCGGAGCAGCCCAGCGGGCGCTGCTGTGTCCAGCCCTCCCCGAAGCCGGGACCCCACCATGGCGCTGGCCGCAGCTGCCGCCGCAGCGGCCGCCGGGGTGAGCCAGGCAGCGGTGCTGGGCTTCCTGCAGGAGCGCGGCGGAAAGGTGAGCAACTCGGAGCTGCTGAGCCGCTTCAAGCCGCTGCTGGACGCGGGCGACCCGCACGGCCGCGCTGCCCGCAGGGACCGCTTCAAGCAGTTCATCAACGACGTGGCCGTGGTGAAGGAGTTCGACGGCGTCAAGTTTGTGGTGCTGAGGAAAAGGCTGCGCGCCCCCGAAAGACCACAGACCCTGCCCTTATGCGCCCCGGTTCCAGTGGCCAGTATCGCTTCCGCCTCTCCAGAGTCAAACACTGGTCCTGGGGCTCCAACTTTGGCGTCGCCTCAACAGTTGGAAGATTTATCGGAGGACCTGTCCCCGTCAACCGAGACTCAGGATGCCCCTGAGATTCAGACCTCTAAGCTGGCTCAGCCAAGTGGTGAGTTGGGGAACTTGAGCTCAACTCAGCATCCTGAAGGGCCCCCCGATGCCCAGGTTCCGTCCTCTGAGTCGGTCCAGCCTGTCGAAGCTCTGTCCGCAGACGTGAGCCAAGCCCCCCGACTCCAGGTGGAGGCGGCATCGCCCTGCTCCGAGCTTCCCACGGGGCCACCTGAGCCAGGGGCCCGCAGAGCGCCGCCGCCCCCTGTCCCGCGCGCGCCGGCGCCTAAGCCGTGCATGCTGCCGGTGCGCTGCGTCGCGGGCCCTGCCGCGCGCCTAGTGCGCTCGGAGGAGCAGGGCCTGAGGCGTCAGCTCTCGGAAGAGCCGAACCCGCGGGGCTCCCCGCTCCTGCTGCGCCGCCTGTCGGTGGAGGAGTCTGGCCTGGGCCCCAGGCGCTCCCCTCACCTGCGGCGCCTGTCGCGCTCCAGCCCGCGCCTGCTCAGCCCCGACGACAACGTGCCTGCCGCGCCGCCGCCGTCCGCGTTGCCTCTGGAGCCGGCCGAGCACGAGTGGCTGGTGCGCTCCGCAGGCGGCCGCTGGACCCACCAGCTGCACGGGCTGCTGCTGCGCGACTGCAGCCTGGCGGCCAAGCGCGACTTCATGTCGGGCTTCACTGCCCTGCACTGGGCCGCCAAGAACGGCGACCGGGAGATGGCTCTGCAGCTGGTGGAGGTCGCGCGGAGCGGAGGCGCGCCAGTCGATGTGAACGCGCGTTCTCACGGCGGCTACACGCCCCTTCACCTGGCCGCGCTGCACGGCCACGAGGACGCGGCCGTGCTGCTGGTGGTCCGCCTGGGGGCGCAGGTGCACGTGCGCGACCACAGCGGCCGACGCGCTTACCAGTACCTGCGGCCTGGCTCCTCGTACGCTCTGCGCCAGCTCCTCGGCGACCCGGGCCTGCGCGACACCACCGAGACCGATGGCGGTGGTGGCGGCCTGGCCTCCAGGCGTCCCGTCCAAGTGGCTGCCACCATCCTCAGCTCCACTACCAGCGCCTTTCTGGGGGTCCTGGCCGATGACCTGATGCTGCAGGACTTGGCGCGCGGTCTGAAGAAGTCAGCCTCGGTGAGCAGGTTCTTGGGCGCCTCCCCCATGGCGCCACGCAGGAAGACCAAGTCTCGCAGTGGTCTTCCTCCCTTCGCAGAGGTCTCTCGGCGAACCACTCCGGGGCCATTAGCTGGGTTAGTGCCCAGCCTGCCCCCTACAACCTGACGGCACCTGAGTTGACAGCCTCGAGGATCTAACCAGCTCTTCTTCCTTCCATAGCCTAAGCGTGGCCCAACGCCCGCTGTTTATTTCCAAGTTTGTCCGCTGCAGGTGTTTTACCAGGTTGGCCTCTGCCTCCAAATTTCTGTCTGAGGCAGGATTTGTTTCCAACTATAAGATTATAGAAGTCAGTCAGAGCCTGCAATGAGGAGCTTTGAAATCTCTGAAGGAAACATGAAATTTAGTGTCGAAGGTAAGGGGCAGCAGCTGGCCTGGCCCCTGAACGAATTAGCCTGATGCTTCTGCATCCACGCGCTCCCAAATCAGAGCTTAAAAAAAAAAAAATTTAAAAAATCAGTGGTCCCCTTAAATACTGGATGATGAGTTGTTTGTCAGCTTTGAAGTAGGTAGTGATTATGTGATGTGATGTGATGTGATGTGATGCTTTGATCCTGTTTTTAAATTAAAATGAGGTAGAGTAATTATCTTAATTTTCTGAAATTCTATTTTTCAACTCTTAAGAGTGTTCACTTTCAATCTTTTGCTAAGTATTTTGGAATTATATTTTTAAAAAATATAGTTCAAGATTTAAAATATTAGTCCCAACCATGGAAGCCCTTAAAAACATATCTACCTCATTGTAGGCAATCAAGATTCTGGAGAGTCTTGAACGCAGAATAACCATCGTGACAGCTGTGAATGTAATTCATTTCAGTACCGTGAATGATTAATGTTAGGAAACAAGCACATCTTGGAAATCAAGCTGATTTAACAAAGAAGGAAAAGGGACATTTTGGCAAATATTTTCATTTGTACTTTCTTTACAGTGAAATATAAACATGCATGTTTGGTATCAGTGGGCAGCTATTTTGATTTGGCATGAATATTTAAATATTTTTTTTCAAACTATGATTCATTTGTTAATTAAACCTTTGTGCCACACTTCTGAATCTATGGTTCTCAAATCTAGCTGAACCTTTGAGTGCCAACACTGAATATTCAAAGACAAATGTCATTGCATTCCTCCAGAAACATAACTGGTTAAATATTAATGGATGCAATTAAGAGCAACTGTGAAAGTTTTGTATAAATAAAAAGTACATGATATCCATTTTAAAAGCTATTTGAAAGCTAAAATGTTTTATTCCATGGTAGTACATGCTCTTTGTTCAGTGGCCATAGCTTAAAGTCTCTGGGCACTGATCCTGAACTGTACATTGAGGTTTGTAGATATTGCCAAGGTTTCCAAGGTACAGTGTAATTTTTATGGTACTTTTTCTGTTTTAAAGATGTGAAATCTATTTGTGCAACCAGCCTTTTTATATCATATCGTAATAATATTCGCTTTTGCAAATTGTGTTTGTATGTCAGTAGCTATCCAATAGTTTCGTGTGACTGAGTAGTCCTCCTTATCCCTTCCCCATATGTAAGTGAGGCCTTTGAAATTATTTAAGTCAGACCTTTATGGAATGTTTTGATTTAAGCATTGAAATAAATACTCTCCATATTGTTCCTGCCTGTGTGATAATGTTCTTCTCTTAAACGTTATACAGTATTTGCTATTTTAATTTTTCTTTTCTCCTATTTAATCTCTCCTCTTTTCCTTCATCCTTCTGTTCCTTTCATGTATGCTCTTATTTTAAATAACTTCAATTGCTCTATAATGCAAAAGCAGGTTTTCAGAGGCAGTTATTGCACAGAGGGAGATTGCTGATCCTTCTCCTGCAGAGCAGCAGGTGGCCTTGAACTGTGTACCTTTGGTATTGCATCGCAGCTTCTTGCCACTAGATTGATCCAAAGGTAGTGGGTTCTCTCAACTATAACTCACAGTCAATTATAGGTGGACCTACACAATGCAAAGGAGGCCACCATAAGAGGATATGATAGCCAAGAGCTGTAGATAAGTGTAGGCCCTAATCAGACCCTTGCCAACCTCCCTGCTTGAAATTCTAGCATGTCTAGCTAACCTGCATAAATTATTTTAAAATGCAAATTAATTCTTCTGCGTCTACAAAAAAAATTGTGGGAGGCAATAATTATAGCAATCTGAGTAGTTGAAGGTCTAGAAGACAGAATAAAATATTAGAGATTTTCCATGGTGAGAGACACCTGAGACAGGTGACAAAGGTCACAGGCACAGGTGCAACCTGCCTTGAGAAAGCCCAAATCTAAAGTAGCAAAGTATAGTCACAATAACTACCATTTATTGCACGCAGTAAAACAGAAGAGGGTTATTTGGACTGCCTAGGGCACCTTTGTGTTTAGAAGGGTGTGCTGTGCTTAAGCTTTCCAAGTGAAATAAAACATTTGGCAAGAGATTATGTTCAATAAGCAGGTGTTAGAAACCACTGCTTTTACCACACAGGCTAAGACTCTCTGAAACTGTAAGGCATATCAGTCAGAAATTATAGACTGATTTACATGTGGAAAATCTTTAAGAACCATATTAATTAGCAAGAGGCACACCTATAGAAGGGCACTTTCGACAACAAAATAGCTGCTCATAAGTTAAAGCAGTTTAACTAGTTATAATTGTCATAGGGAGAAGAATGACTCCTTCATAACAGGGAAGAAGTTAATTGTTAATGGAGATGTATATGAGTCATCCCAATAATAAGCTTTTAAAATAAAGTTTTACATTTCCTTTAATAGAGGTAGAAGGCTGTTCTTAGCATAGCTCACTTTCTTAAAGGAGAGTCGTGCATGATATGAGTAATGCATATAGCAAAACACCCACTGCTCTGGAGTTTGAGTCCAGCCCTTTATTGGGTTTCTACTGCTATGGATCTTTATGAGAGGAGATTGCCTATCTTTCTCCTTTGGAGTGGCTGGTGGATTTGAACTACCAACCTTTCTGTTAGCAGCCTGGCACGTTATACACTATGCTACCAGGACTCCTAATGCATATATAACTTAGGTTTATTACGTGCCAAGCACGGCTGGCTTAAGATAGATGATTGATAGATGATGATGATGATGATAGCTAGATAGCTAGAATATAGATAGCTAGATAGAGATAGATAACTAACTATAACCCTATAAGAGGTGTACTATTGTCATTGTTGTTAGGTGCCATCATCTCAACTACAACTTACAGTGACCCTATGAATAATAGATCTGAGCCCTGCCCTATCCTGTACTATCCTTTGAATTCCTGTTATGCTCGAGTCCATTGTTATTGTCACTGTGTCAAACCATCTTCTTGAGGATTTTCCTCTCTCTTGCTGACCCTCAGCCTTTCCAACCATTACACCTTTTTCCAAAGACTAGCCCTTCCTGACAACATGCCCAAATTATGTGAAATGAGTTTCACCAACCTTGCCCTGAAAAAGCCCCGTAGTTGCACTTCCTGCACAACAGTCTTGTGTGTTCTATTAGCAGTCTATGGGGTAGTTAGTACTCTTCTCCAGCTCTGCAGCTTAAAGGCACTACCTCATCTTCTGTCATCCTTATTCATTGTCCAGTTTTAAGCTGCACAGCTGGTGATTGAAATGACCATGGCATAAAATCAGGCACAATTTAATCTTTAAACTGACATAATTTCTCCTTAGTATTTTGAAGAGACCCTTAACAGCAGACTCCCCAGTGTAACATGTCTTTTGATATCTTGACTCCTGGTACGAAGGCTATTGATTGTCGATCCAAATAAGATTAAATCATTGAGAACTTCAGTTTTCTCCATCTATCATGATGTTGCCTTTTGGCCTAGTGGTGAGGGTTTCCTTTTTTCTATGTTGAGATGTAATCCATATTGAAGGTTGTGGTCTTAATTTCTCCTATGAGTTAGCATCTTTATTTTAAGGTGAGGTTTTGAAGCCTAGAAGAGGTGCCCAGGCCTCAAGTGGCAAAGACAGGATGGCTTCCTGGAGCTATTCTTTACTAGACAGTCCAGACACAGGAGAGCAGGGTAGTCTCGTTTCAGTCTTGACTCATTTAATGGCCTTGACCAAACTCCATCTCCCCAGTCTCTTTTCCGGTTACTGCGGCGCTAGCAACCATGAGCAGCAAAGTCTCTCGCAACACCCTCTACAAGGCGGTGCGGGAAGTCCTGCACGGGAACCAGCACAAACGCAGAAAGTTTTTGGAGACGGTAGAACTGCAGATCAGTTTGAAGAACTATGACCCTCAGAAGGACAAGCGTTTGTCGGGGACCGTCAGGCTAAAGTCCACCCCATGCCCCAAGTTCTCTGTGTGTGTTCTTGGGGATCAGCAGCACTGTGATGAAGCCAAGGCTGTGGATATCCCCCACATGGACATCGAAGCACTGAAAAAACTCAACAAGAATAAGAAACTGGTCAAAAAGCTGGCCAAGAAGTATGATGCCTTTTTGGCCTCTGAATCCCTGATCAAGCAGATCCCAAGAATCCTAGGTCCAGGGCTGAATAAGGCTTGCAAGTTCCCTTCTCTGCTGACCCACAATGAGAACATGGTGGCAAAAGTAGATGAGGTGAAGTCCACCATCAAATTCCAGATGAAAAAGGTCCTGTGTCTGGCAGTGGCTGTTGGCCATGTGAAGATGACAGATGATGAACTTGTTTACAACATCCACCTGGCTGTCAACTTCCTGGTTTCACTGCTAAAGAAGAATTGGCAGAATGTTCGGGCTCTGTACATCAAGAGCACCATGGGCAAGCCCCAGTGTCTGTGCTAAGATACAGCTCAATAAATCTTACTGTTTATACAAAAAAAAAAAAACACACAAAACACAACTCCATCTCCCCATGGCGAAGAGCAAAGGTGAACCTGAGATATTAGCTGGGAGGTTGATCCCATGGGAGTATCTGGCTGAATTCCAAAACCAAACAGCATTGATTTATGCATTTGCTTGATAAGATCACCATTCTCTTTCCATGTTAGTATTTGTATATCTAAGTAACCACTGGTTCTGCCATAAAAAAACCTGTATTCCTATAAAAGGGAAATTGTCCCATATTCTATGGGCATTGTTATTGTTATATGCCATCAAGTTGCCTGCAACTTATAGTGACCCTGTGTACAATAGCTTT